ACCCCAAAACAAAACAAAATCAATTAATGAAACATCTCTCAAGAAAGCTACAGGTATTAAGAGGATATTGTTATTTCTGGGGAAATACAGTACCCGGGAGCTGAGGTTTAACATATGGGTATTACTTTCTGCAACTAGCCCCCCTCTGCTGTGCTAAGAATTGAACCCACAACTGTATATATGCAAGAAATGCATTCTGCTACCAAGCTATAACCCTGACTTTCTTTTTCCTGCTTTCGAGTCTTGTAAAAAATATCCTTATACTCACATGCTTTTAAAAAGAGATATTCAGTCTTTGGTGGTAGTTGTGCTGTGCTAACATAAACTCTGAAGAAACAAGAAATTGTATCCTGAAAATGCAATCATGTAAACTAATATTCAGCCTGGAGGCTTTTTTAAAAAAATTGTAAATAAAATCTACTTATGTTCTTTAAAAAATAAAAATAAAAAATTCACTGTTCGTCTTTTATAAAAGATGCTTCTGATGTTATTTGGTGCTGATTCATTTGCATACCTTTATGTCTAAACAAAACCTCATTTGGAGCTGGTGTGTGGGGTGCTTGGGGCAGGGTGGGGTCTGCCCTGTGCTCCTGCTGCAGGCCCAGGCCCCAACGATGATGAAGGGTCAAGTTAGAGCATTCAGACACTGGATGGGAGCCATGACATGGGAGCTTTGTGCTGCGGGTGTCGGACATTCTAGGGAGAAGAAAAGCAACTGCTACTGGGCTCCTCATTGGTATATCTGACATGTTATAAATGCCATTTTATATGTTATGAATTTTTTCAGATTTGGGGGGCCATACCTAGAAGTGTTCAGGGCTTACTCCTGGCAAAACGCCAGGTACCAAAAGTGTTGCCAGGGATCAAACTCAAGTGAACATAAGGCCAGTGCACTACTCTCCATGCTGTATCTCGGGCCCCATTTTACATATTCTTCACAACAACACTGCAAGATAGGTATTGTCAGCTCCACTCTATAGCAGACTCAACTTGCTTAAAGAACCTCATTTGTCCAGTCACTTAGACATCACTCTGCAAAAGCCCGCAGCCTCCCGGAGACCAGGCTCCACCATCGCTATCCTGGCTTCAGATCCTCCAACAAATCTGAACTGGTGTTTCCTCTATGTCTGACATTTTCCTAGGCAGTGCACTTTGACCTTGGGAAGCCTAGTGTGTACGGGAAATAGAAAACAAATAGTTTCTCAAATATATGTTGCATGGGTCGTGAAAGTGTACCATGGAGGAAAACAAATGAGGGTCAACGGGCAGCTCCTGAACAGGCTGCCCTCTAAATTGCCAGGTCAAAGCAGGCCTCTCTGACAAGGCACCATGTGACCAGGGATTGACTTGCAACTGCTGGGTGGTCTGGCGGGACAGCAAAGACAAAATCCACAGGAGGATCTGCACTGCCCTGAGATGGCACCACATGCTGGCATTCGGAAAAACTTCTCCTGTTGACCCACTTTAGATGATGTTAGATGATGTTCAATTAAATCACCTCAGGCTTACCAGATAATTCCGGGAAGCTTCTCCCAAACACTGTGTTCCTTTTCCAAGAGGTGCACTTCCTGTGGGCAGAGGGAAACAGTTGAGGGAGTCAAGCTTTAACTTTTTTTTTTTAATTTTATTGCATCACCGTGAGATAATTACAAGCTTTCATGTTTGGGCTACAATCACACAATGATCAAACACCCATCCCTCCACCAGTGCACATTCCCCACCACCAATATCCCCGGTATACCCCCCCTTCCCACCCTCCCCCTGCCTCCATGGCAGACATGATTCCCCATAATCTTTCTCTACTTTTGGGCATTATGGTTTGCAATACAGACACTGAGAAATCATCATGTTTGATCCTTTATCTACTTTCTGCACACATCTCCCATCCCGACCGATTCCTCCAGCCATCATTTTCTTAGTGATCCCTTCTCTACTCCAGCTGCCTTCTCACCTTTGCTCATCAGGCAGGCTTCCGCAAGCTTTAACTTCTTACTCATGTCTGACATTCTGCCACTTCAATCATGATATAGTTTAACTTGGCTTTCTGAGAACCCACACCCTCACACACCTGGTATGAGCTGAGTTCAGCTGCCACTGTAGCACTGTAGCACTGCCGTCCCGTTGTTCATTGATTTGCTCCAGTGGGCACTAGTAACGTCTCCATTGTGAGACTTGTTGTTACTGTTTTTGGCATATCGAATACACCATGGGGAGTTCGCCAGGCTCTGCCATGCAGATGGGATACTCTCGCTAGCTTGCCGGGCTCTTGGTGAGGGACAGAGGAATTGAACCCGGGTCAGCCGCGTGCAAGGCAAATGCCTACCCACAGTGCTATCGCTCCAGCCCTTCAGTTGCCACAAAAAAAAAAAAGAAAGAAAAAGCAAAAGCAAATGATCTTGTGCCAATCATGAGCCTTCCATTGAACAAATCAGGAGATTCAGCTTTGGATAAGGGTTTTGAGCCATTTGTGGCAGACCAGACCCACAGCCGATCCCTCACAACAGCACACCCCACTCAAGTTTCTTGCTCAGTTAGAGCCCACACCTGTTCTAAAATATTAAAGATCGATATGTACCCTCTGACTTTATGCTGTAGTGGATGAGTTGGACAATGCCCCTGCTATCGTAAGTGCCATCCGTTGCAGATAGACTAAGAAAGTATGGAAGTAACAGAGATTTCTCTTTATTAATTTTAATTTCTTTTAATTGGAGAGATGAAATTATATACGTAAGTACTGCCTCAAGCAAAGGGTCTGATACTTGGTAAACAGTAAATGTTACCTACTGCAGTAATCAGGACTGGCTTCACATGGGAAACAAAATCTGAGGCAAGTAGGAAGACCAACCCAGATAAAGGACACCCAGTTAAATATGAGCTCCAGAAAAAAAATAAAAAAAATTGGGGGGATAATGCCATTCCAAATATTGCCTAGGACATATTTATGTCCCCAAAATGTATATCTACTGATTATATGAAATTCAAATTTAACGAGGGTATTCTATTTTTTAAAAAATTAGCGACTCTTACCCAAAAGAAAACTTGATATAAAGATGAACAGCCGAGAAATTCAGTCTCTGCTTTCAAAGGCAAGAAGGAGACCCAAGGACAAAATAAAATTAAATGCAATAATTTTTTTATGTAGGAGTACTGCTATTTATTCAGCCACTGATTAGCTGATTGAATTGGGCATGAACTCCACAAATGCAATAAATTTTAGATGCCAAAGTTGAAAACTAATTTATACAAATGAGGATAGATGTTATATTATAGCACTGTCCTGTAGCACTGTCCTCCCGTTGTTCATCGATTTGCTCGAGTGGGCCCAGTAATGTCTCCATTGTGAGACTCATTGTTACTGTGTTTGGCATATCAAATACGTCACGGGGAGCTTGCCAGGCTCTGCCGTGTGGGCGAGATACTCTCGGTAGCTTGCCGGGCTCTCCGAGAGGGGCAGAGGAATCGGGGAGAAATCAAACCTGGCTCAGCGGCTGGCCGGGCACAAGGCAAACGTCCTACTGCTGTGCTATGGCTCCAGCCTGTTATATTATATTTTATTAAATTACATGAATTTTTTAATTTACACAGGTTAAATCATATAGCACCAATTAAGTTCTGTTGTAACAAGGGAAATGAAGTAAATTTTTTTTTTTTTTTTTGCTTTTTGGGTCACAAACAGCGATGCACAGGGGTTACACCTGGCTCTGTACTCAGGAATTACTCCTGGAGGTGCTCAGGGGACCATATGGGATGCTGGAAATTGAACCTGGGTTGGCCACGTGCAAGGCAATTGCCCTACCCGCTGTGCTATCGCTCCAGTCCCAAAATGAAGTAAATTTGTGATATTCCTGCTAAGAGGGCAGGTTAGGAGGGTTTTTTTTTGGGGGGGGGGGAACAGGGGACATTGATGCAGAGAAGCTCACACCAGTGGTGGGATCGCTACTGGAACATTGTATGCCTGGAACAACTGTATTATACACTACTTTGCAAATCACAGTGTTTCAATTAAAAAAAATGTAAATGGCTCATATGCTACCTGAGCCCACGTGCTGCCTGTGCCCATGTGGCCGAGCACATGCGGTGCCAGAGCACATGTGTCACCCACATCTTCCCTCCTGAGATGTGTACATTCATGCTTTTATGTCTAATGCTGTAATGTGTGTAGGGGTTCTCTCCACCCTTGGAAAAGCTCAGGTTCTCTCTTGAGCACGTTACTTTCCACTCTCTCTCTCTCTCACTCTCTCTCCCTCCTTCCCTTCAAAACCTCCAAATAAAAACTGTAATTTCTCTATATATACATTTATATATATGTATGTATATATATATGTATGTGTGTGTGTGTGAGAGAGAGAGAGAGAGAGAGAGAGAGAGAGACTCAAAAAGATCTCTCCTATTTGTGGGTGGAAAAAGAAACATCGAGAGACCAAAATAGGGTCAAAGTCATCAGAACTAAAGACTTTGTCTATCAAACTGGGCTTACATGGGGGTGGGGGATGGGGAAGGGTCCTTGGGACCCCAATGGAGCAAAGCAAGCTCTCTGGTCTGGTGTTGGAAGGCAGTACGCATGAAAAGTGTGGTTTACTGTATTGTGAATCCCAGTCCCTCAATAAAAATGGTTCTGAAACATTAAAAACTAAAATTCAGGCCATCCTATCCTAATTCTTCTACAAAGAGGGCCGTTGGCCAAGTTTTTGTTTTCCAGGGGTCCATATCTAGCCTGACCCTACCGCGCCTTTGCCTTCCAGCATTCTAGCACGGGCAGATCCTACTCTGTCCCCTTCAAAGGCATTTCCAAGTCATCCCGCTTTTGGAATGTGAGATCTTTCCCAAACTAGCTCTGAGTTAGCTTATCGGAAGCAAACAAGTTTAAAGGAAAATTGAGCAAGAATTTCTCAGAGCTCAAGAGAAAAAGCAAGAGAAGCGGAGTGCACGTTGGCCTCCAAAGAGGACAAAGATAATGATTAATCAAGGGCCCTGCAGATTTAAATGGGATGGGACCGAAGTGGAGGAAACCTTTCTCTCAGCTGGAGCGCTCCTGGGGAGCCAGCCCCACCCTCTGCAAAGATGGTTTCTCTGAGGATCTTCTGTCTGGTCCTGAGTGTGGTTGGCACAGTTTGGGTATGGTCATTGTTTCTACTTTCTGTCTTATCTTGTTTTCTGTCTGGAGTTTATCCCACAAGAGACTACGGTTCTGAGTCAGTTTTATGCGCATCCTGAGACAAGTTCCTCTGATGGGCTTGACATCTCAGAGGAGTGAGTTAAATGAATCCTGAGAGGCTTAGCAAACCAAACAGCAGAAATGCACCAGGGAAGTTTGGCCTGCTCTATTCAGTCAGGCAACACTGTTTCTGATTTTAAGGGGAAGTCTTTGACATAGTTAATGCTAACAGAACAAAACACTCTCTTGATTAAAAAAAAAAGTAAATATATTGTTAATTTCTTGTCATTTGTCCTTAGGAAGCAAAAGAATGGTTTGGTGTCATTTTTTTCTGAAAGATTTATTTTGTCTTTATGATTAAAAAATATGAGTTGTCTTTAAACGTATACAATATATCTCATTCAGAAAGATTCATTGATAAGGCAATGTATTTTGGGTGAGTAATTATATTCTCCTGAGAGAATAATTAGATACTGCAATCAATTCTGGTTTGACCCCACCTCCCGCCAATAACTACAGAAGAGAAAATTTATTTAACAAGGCTTCTGAAACAATTCAAGCTTATACATTGATAAATATGTCTGGAAAAACTCAAGTTACTTGTCAGCTTTCTTAAATTAGAAAAAATTCTAATTTACGTTTTGTCTTCCTTCACCATTTAAACTCCAATACTAGAGAACAAACAAAAAAAACTAATGACCGTATCTAATTTAATTTTCTCTCTTAAGATAAAATAATACAATTTTTAAAGCATCAGATATAAAACTGATATTGGTTATTATAATGGTGTTTAGGATAATGCACAAGTTTTTATTGTATCTCTCTTATTGGCATAAATACTCTGTCACATTTTATTGTGCTACTTTATTCTGAAGTATGTTTGTAATTTTATAAAATTTATAATTCAAAATTTATAATTTTGTTTCTTAGAAAAGACTATATTTGTTCTTTTAACAAATTCCATTTGATTGCTTGAATAATGATTGTCATCATTTGGACTCTTTAGATGATTACATTTTTAATCTGATATTAAATTATCATAAATTGCCTTGTTTCTGCAGTTTACCTAGAATGCTTTGAACCATGCACTAAAATGAATTCTTTTAATTTATAAAATATAAGAAAGCTGGCCTAGCAAAATTTAACATGTACATTCCCGATTTTTTATTTGTATTTATTTATTTTGCTTTTTGGGTCACACTCGGCAATACACAGGGGTTACTCTTGACTTATGCACTCAGGAATTACTCCTGGAAGTACTTGGGGGACCATAAGGGATGCTGGGAATCGAACCTGGGTCGGCCACGTGCAAGGCCAACACCCTACCCGCTGTGCTATCGCTCCAACCCCCATTCCCGATTATTAAAAAAAAAAAGTTACAGTAAACGTTAGCTGGTTATAAAAACTATCTAGATTAAGACAATCATAGCAAAATATTTGTAAATTGATACTATAAATAAAACTAGTCAAAACCTATAGCCCACATTAATTTATAAGAACATAAAATCATGTTGAAAGAATTTTTTTAACATTCTAGTTTACTTGGTAAATCACCATCAAAGTTTTTTAAATTTGTATTTCTTTTTTTTTTTTTTTATTAGTGAAACACCATGAGGTACAGTTGTAGATTTACAATTTTTTGTGCTTGGGTTTGATTATACAATGATCAGATACCCATCCCTCCTAAATTTGTATTTCTAATTAAAAAGTGGTCAGTATGAGTCAACACTTTGGCTTTCTGGGTTTTTTTTTTTTTCATTTGAAATAAAAACAAAGTCATTGTATGTTTGAGTAACCTTAAAAAAAAAAAGCCAAACCAATTCTTGGTCTGAATTGGCCATATTTGTGTCTTTGGTCCACATTTGCTCCACTGATAGCTGCAGCAGAGTAGAAAATTAAAAGAGAGACAGACTCTGGACTGAAATAGTGGGACAGGGTGGGGGAGGGGTGTTTCTTATGAAGGAAATGGGAATTGAAAAGGAAAGAACTCTTTGAATTTCCAATTGTCTTTCTGTTTTCAGACATAAGTGAAAATGAAAGGGCTCAATAAATCTGTAGATGCAAATAATTTTCTTTATCTTCTGAACCCTTTCAAATTCATACCACTTATTTTATGCTAGGTCAGTGTCAAATTTTGACACTTAAATAATCTCCTTTACGTCTTTGAAAGATTAACTGAAGCCCTTGTGGATCCCAGAATGTGGTGCTCTGAATTCCTGAGTTCTCCTGTCCCCAGTGATTTATAGCCCAGCGTCATGTTCTTACCTGCCTAACCTCACTCTTCTTTCATGAATAAACCCTTACAGACAGCCGCAACTGACGATGGTGAATTTTTAGCCGAAGGAGCAGGTGTCCGTGGCCCAAGACTGGTGGAGAAATCGCAGTCTTCCTGTATAGAGACTGAATGGCCCTTTTGCTCGGATGATGACTGGGTGAGCCAGGAGCCGGGGACCTGGGGGTATCTTCTCCTGGTACCGGCTTATCCTTGTGCTAAAGTGCACAGAGTGGGGTACAGAAATCATTTTCAATGGGAAATACTGAAATAGTTCCTTATAAGTCAAATTAGAGCAAGAAAGGAACGCAGCCTAGTTCGGGATGGGAGGCGTGTGCTAAAAGATAAAGGACCAAATGTGATAATCTCTCAGTGTCTGTATTGTGAACCATAACGCCCAAAAGTAGAGAGAGGTAGAGAGAGAGAGAGAGAGAGAGAGAGAGAGAGAGAGAGAGAGAGAGAGTAGGGGAAACTGTCTGACATGGAGGCAGGGGGAGGTTTGGAAAGGAAGGGTATACTGGGGACATTGGTGGTGGAGAATGTGCACTGGTGGAGGGATGGGTATTTTTGATCATTGTATGAATGAAACTCAAACATGAAACCTTTGTAACTGTATCTCATAGTGATTCCATTTTAAAAAAATAAAATAAATATATTTTTTTAAAAAATGAAAGGCAAAAAAAAAAAGAATGCAGCCTAGAGAAGGTAAAGGCCCTCCCGTTGATCGTCGATTTGCTCGAGCGGGCCCAGTAACGTCTCCATTGGAGACTTGGTTGTTACTGTGTCTGGCATATCGAATACTCTCGGTAGCTTGCCGGGCTCTCCGAGAGGGGCGGAGGAATCAAACTCGGGTCGGCCATGTTGGCCGCTTGTAAGGCGAACGCCCTACCCGCTGTGCTATCGCTCCAGCCCTAGAGAATGCTATAAAAATCACCTCCCCAAAGCCGGCTCTTTAATGGCAATGAACAGAGAACAAACTGACTTTCAGTTGCTTTATTAAGCAAATATGAAGAACCTGAACATTGCAACCTGAAAGATTTTGTGATTTCTAATGGTTAAGCACATTCATCTTCATTTCAGAATTCCTCCATGGCCTCCCATTAGCCCCCTTAAACTCTTTAGGAGTCAGGAGAGAATAGAAGCAGCGGGGAAACGGGGCAGTGAGACTCACTAGAAACCTTAAACTTTCTGATGAATCCAAAGGAAAGGCCCCTAACACATATTTTCCATCTTTGCTTTCAGAACAGCAAATGTCCTTCTGGCTGCAGGATGAAAGGGCTAATTGATGAAGTCAACCAAGATTTCACAAACAGGATAGCTAAACTCAGAAATTCACTATTTGATCATCAGAAGCACAATAAGGACTCTAATTCTGTGACCAAGAATATAATGGAACTTTTGCAAGGGGATTTTAACAGAGGAAATAGTAAGTATTATGTATTTAATGCATCACTTAACAGCACACAATAAAAACATGAGTGAATATCCTTATGTCTTCTTATACAATAACAATTTTATTCCAATGCACTGAATAATGAAATAGACCTTAATTTTACCCTCGACTATTAAGGAGGGTTTTGCTTTTGCTATTTTATAATATAAAATGCTTAGCCTGGTGTTCTATAAGATCACAAAGTAAGTCAAAACTTTGTATATGAGAAACTAAGAATGCTTTTTAAAATATAATATGCCAAAATCAGATGGGCACAAACACTTTAATTTATTTGTTTTTTGGACCATACTCAGCAGTTCTCAGGGCCTACTCTGAGAGGTCAGTCCTGGCTGTACTGGGGGATTCCATGGAGTGCTGAGGATTAAACTGGGTCAGCTGTGTACAAAGCAAGCATCTTACCTGCTCTCTTATCTCTCTGGCCCTGAACAACCCTTCAGATAGGTATTCTTTGTCTCCTTCTTATAGAGGAAGGATCTCAAGAGGTCAAGAAACTTGTCCAAAGACACAGACACTTCCTCTTCTGAGAAAGCTGAGGGTTCAAATCACACAATTCACTGAACTGATTATGTGGCTGTTCTTAAAGTATACCACCAAGCTATAGCTTTCTCAGAGGGCTAGGATAAGGCCTCATGAGGACAGGAAACTGGGTCCCCTGAGCATGGGCTGCACACTTAGTGAGGTCTTAGTTCCTATGACTTCCTTTTCTTCAAAGCCTTGCTTGGACACACTTAACTAATTTAAAGTTAAATGTTCCACAATAAATGGTGAATTGGTGATCCTATTGACTGATGCATACTAATACATACAAAAAGCTCATAAATAATTTCAAATCTATAGGTAGGAAGTAAACCTGCACATTAAGAAAATCCAATGATCAAATTGATTTTATTGTAGGTATCCCAAGCAGTGATCAGAGGTCTTGGGGACCACTCCCATCTATATTCAGTCAGTCAGACTAGCAAGTCAGTGCTAGCGCCTAAGGACGTTCTGCTACTTGGGTCGTGTGGTGTGGGGGCCACCAGTGCCACTCTGGTAATAATCAGGGACCTCCAGGGCACATCCAGCTATGTCTGGAAGGTCATATGTTTCAAGGGCTCAAACCCCTGGACTGTCTCCTCAGAGTCTCAAACAGAATACTTTTTTTCCTTCTAATTATGCCTTCAAGATTCCAAAGAAATTTCCTTTTCTGCATTTACCACAATTACTAAGAGCTGGTAGCTACCTTAACTGATCTCTTTGGATGGCTACAGAATATAACATTGTCTAAAGATCAAATGCCTTCTAGAGATTTGGAACATACAAATGAAATGTTCAGAGAACACACTATGCTCAAAATAAAATAAGGAATAGTTATAGGCAAATTTCTTTTGCTGGCTATTATAAGTGGGCTGGAGTGATAGCACAGAGGGTAGGGCGTTTGCCTTGCACGTGACCGATCCAGGTTCGATTCCTCTGCCCCTCTCAGAGAGCCCGGCATGCTACTGAGAGTATCTCTCCCGAATGACAGAGCTTGGCAAACTACCCGCGATGTATTCGATATGCCAAAAACAGTAACAAGTCTCACAATTTATTGTGAGACGTTACTGGTGCCCACTCGAATAAATCGATGAATAATGGGAGGACAGTGCTACAGTGTAGTGCTATTATAAGCAGATCAACCAGTAGTTATTTCAATATCCCAATTTCTATGTTAGACTATGATACAACGTATAGCCAAGTAACAGAAGATCTGAGAAGCAGAATCGAGATCTTAAAACGCAAAGTCACTGAACAAGTACAACAAATCCATCTTCTGCAAAAAAACGTGAGGGATCAGCTGGTGGATATGAAACGCCTAGAGGTAAGTAGTATGGTTCTAGCCACAAACTCCCTTTTTTGGGGTATATTTATTATCTACCAAGTAAGTACTACCAAGTATCTGTTCACCTACTTATCCATTTATGCTAAAGTCAAAGAAAAAAAAAACACCTCGGTGACATTAAGTCTATTTTTAAGGGCACATGGATTCTAAATTTCAGAAACAATGTTCTGTTCTTCTTAGTTTTATTCCAAAGCTTGGACACCGGGGCTGGAGAGATAGCACAGCAGGTAAGGCGTTTGCCTTGCACGCGGCAGACCCGGGTTCAATTCCCAGCATCCCATATTGTCCCCTGAGCACCGCCAGGAGTAACTCCTGAATGCAAAGCCAGGAGTAACTCCTGTGCATCACCAGGTGTGACCCAAAAAGAAAAAAAAAAAAAAAAAAAAGCTTGGACACCACCAAGTTTCTGGATCTCTATTGTCAGGCTCAAAGGAAACCCCACCTTAATTTTGGTCTGTTTTAAGATGAATCCAAGTACCTCCCATTGCTTCCCTAGGCTAGCCCAGAATGTTTTTCACTGAGGATGATACAAAAAGCATTGGTTGATAGAACTCCAAGTCCTACCAACCAATGAAGCCTATTTGTAAAAAAATAAATAAATAAAATAAATTAATAAATTAATTAAATAACTGCTAAAAACTCACTGGACATAGCTTATTGCTTTATATTTACCTTCCCCCCATCTTTTCCTCCCTCTCTATAGGTGGACATTGATATTAAGATTCGATCTTGCAAAGGGTCCTGCAGTAGGACTTTAAACCGTGAGACAAATCTAAAGGATTATGAAGACCAGCAGAAGCAACTTGAGCGGGTTATTGCCATAAATCTGCATCCATCTAGAGATAGCCAAGACTTACCACTGATAAAAATGAGTCAAGTTCAGGATCTGATTCCTGCAGATTTCAAGAGCAAACTTCAGAAAGCCCCTGAAGACTGGAAGGCACTCACGGGAATGAGGCAGACAAAGATGACATTAGAGAAGACTGGTAAAGGGGGGGCCTCCCGAGGAGACTCTCCCCATGAAGCAAGAGTAGGGTCAGAAAACCCTGGGAGCTCTGGGCATGGAGACTGGAACCCTGACAGTTCTCGACCTGGTGGTGCTGGCTCTTGGAACCCTGACAGTTCTCGACCTGGTGGTGCTGGCTCTTGGAACCCTGACAGTTCTCGACCTGGTGGTGCTGGCTCTTGGAACCCTGACAGTTCTCGACCTGGTGGTGCTGGCTCTTGGAACCCTGACAGTTCTCGACCTGGTGGTGCTGGCTCTTGGAACCCTGACAGTTCTCGACCTGGTGGTGCTGGCTCTTGGAACCCTGACAGTTCTCGACCTGGTGGTGCTGGCTCTTGGAACCCTGACAGTTCTCGACCTGGTGGTGCTGGCTCTTGGAACCCTGACAGTTCTCGACCTGGTGGTGCTGGCTCTTGGAACCCTGACAGTTCTCGACCTGGAAGCTATAGGCCAGAGAGCTCAGGACATGGGGACGCTAGGCCAACTCAACCAGACTGGGGTGAATTTGAAGAGGTACCAGGAAGTGTAAATCCAGGGACAAAGAAAGAGTATCACACAGGTAAACTGGTCACTTCTAAAAAAGAGAGGGAACTTCTGATTGGTGATGAGAAGAGGCCCGGCAGCACGACCATCACTCGTCGCTCATGCTCCAAAGTCATTATTAAGGAAGTGACTGGTCCAGAGGGTAGCAAAAAAATTAACAAAGAGGTGATCACCTCAGAAGATGGCACTAACTGTGGTGACACAGACAATATATTCTCTGATAGGGGTAGCTTAGCTGATCTTCATCGGGATCACCCTGATTTACATGAGTTCTTTAACACTGACTCGACTGGAAAGACATTCGCAGAGATGAGCAAACGTTTTGAGAGCAGCAGGCAGTCTATGGACTCAGATTCTGACATCTTTAGAGACTTAGAAAGCGACTCGCTCCATTTTGGGGTCCCTGAGTTACCTTCCAGTAGCAGTAAGACTTCAAGTTACAGCACGAAAACAGTAACCACTAGCAGAGGAAGCTCCACAGTTGAATCCAAGAGGTTGAAAATGGGAGATGAGGCTGAAAGTGTAAAAGATCGTGAAGAGGGCCGAAGAGCCCCAAGAAGAGGCCAGACTAAAGGTCGCACTACCAGAGGTATCCACACTTCCCCTTTGGGAAAGCCTTCCCTGAATCCCTAAACTAAGTTTACTCCTACACTGTGTCCCCCTAGCACATTGCACTTCTTTCCTAACCATCTATTATTGAAACTGCCCTTTTGGGTTTGTTTTTTCATGCTAGACTGTAAGTTCCATGGGGGCAGGGTCTCTGTCTATTGTGTTCATCTCTGTATTCTCAAATGCATAGCAATGCAGAGAATCCTCATTCAATAAATGCATGTTCAATGAATGAACGGGTCCTTCTGAAACTCGATTTTGAGTTGTTTAACCAAATTCTTTCACATCCAAAATGTGTGCTCTTGGAATTGTCACCCAGCAATAATATTTTTGGGGGGTGTCTCATTGAGATGAGTACTAAAAGGTGCCTAGATATCTTAGTTGGTTACTTGCTATCAATTGGCACATGCCAATAAATTTCAAATCCATGGTGGGAATTCTCCTTTGCAATTTGTGAGCATAAATTCCACTCACAGAACGTTTCACTGTGGGGTCAGTGCATTTCTTTCCCCATGAAAGGAAGGAAAGAAGGGCAAAAAGCCAGTGTCTGTCGTCTTTAATCCGGGCCACGCCTATCTCGGTAAAATGAAATGAGAATAACTTCTTCCAACCAGCTTGATTTTTTTTTTAGACTGTCATGATGTCCTTCAAACACATCCTTCAGGTGCCCAAAGTGGCCTTTTCCATATCAACCTCCCGGGATCCAGTAAGATTTTTTCTGTTTACTGCGATCAAGAGACCGGTTTGGGAGGATGGCTTTTGATCCAGCAGAGAATGGATGGCTCCCTGAATTTTAACCGGACCTGGCAAGACTACAAGAGAGGCTTCGGCAGCCTGAATGACCAGGGGGAAGGAAACTTCTGGCTAGGCAATGAGCACCTCCACTTACTCACCCGGAAGGGCTCCACGCTGCGGGTGGAGCTGGAGGACTGGGCGGGGCGCGGGGCGTACGCCGAGTATCGCTTCCGGGTCGGGTCGGAGGCGGAAGGCTACGCCCTGCACGTGTCGGGCTACCGGGGCACGGCGGGCGACGCGCTGCAGGAGGGCTGGGCCGAGGAGGGCCCCGAGTTCACGGCGCACGCGGGGATGCGCTTCAGCACCTTCGACCGGGACGCCGACCAGTGGGACGAGAACTGCGCCGAGGTCTACGGCGGCGGCTGGTGGTACAACAGCTGCCAGGCGGCCAACCTCAACGGCGTCTACTACCCGGGGGGCGCCTACGACCCGCGCGACAACAGCCCGTACGAGGTGGAGAACGGGGTGGTCTGGGCCCCCTTCCGCGGAGCCGATTATTCGCTCAGGGTCGTTCGCATGAAAATCAGGCCCCTGGTGCCCTAGTAGCCGGCGGGAGTGGCCGTCCCCCCGGGCCTCTTGGTGCTCCAAGGGGCAGGGAAACGCGAGTCCAAGGAAGGGGGCTTGACATCACCCCCCACCCCCACCCCCCAAACATCCCCAGGTGCTATTTTAGTTCTTCTCTGTACTGTAGCTGAATGTCACCCAGGCACGTTGAGTGCCGGGAAAACTATAAAGTGATAAATGGGGCTTAAAAAATAGCCCTCTATATGCATACATACCTATATGTATATAGAGAGATTTTTTTTTAAATAGCTCTGTGGGTTTTTTTTTTTTTCCGTTGCAAAGAATAAACACGCCACGGGACCTTCCCATTCCCTCTGGAAACTGAGTCCTGTGCGAGGAGGCACCACTTTGCATCCTCCTTGCAACCCTCCAAGGGAGTTGAGAACTTCACACATCTCCCAAAGTCAAAAGTTACTTCACCCATTCTCTTTAGATCGTTTTAAACCCAGTTTTTGAGCTACTGAATCACTGAATGTAGGACAACCGTGGGTGGTCTTTGTAAAGGAATTTGCAACTTTGCAGAGAACAGTCAAACCCTGTGAGCAAGCAAATCCAGAAAGGCAAAGCAGCAGCAAAGAATTAAGACTGAATTTTTACTTTTCCAGGACCATAATGCTAACATTTAACTTTTCCTGGGGCCAAAATCAGTTTCTTTCAAAAACATATCCAAAGATGCGTTTAAAATCTTAAAAAAAAAAAATCTGCCAGTACTGCAAAAGCAGATTGAAGCTGCACATTTCCAAAGAGTCCCCACAGCGTTTATTTCTCACCAGGAATAAAGTGATTTATTAGTTGTTATTGAAAGTGAGAAATTTGCTTTAAAATATCTCACTAAATACAATCCAGGCCGTATTCACAAGTGCAGCATATTTACATTGGTTTATATTTTATTTGCATCTTTGATTGGTAGTTGGGTTTATATCCCAATTTATATTTCAATTTTGTGCTTGGGTTTCATACTAGAAGGTATGGACTTTTTACCATTTAGCTTTTAAATACACATGGGAGTATCCAAATTGCTTTGGAATCCTAGTGTATTTCCCTCACATGCATAATTTCCATCCCAATGTAACTGCATCCATTCTTCAAGGAAGGAAAGAAGGCAGAAGGGAGCTAGGGTTAGGGGCCACAGACTGGGAACAGATGGAAGATTAGCATGAAAGTTTGCATGAATCACATTTGAAATGCCAGTATTCTGTGTTTCCTTATGTGCAATTGAAAATTCTTGGTATGAGTAATTGATATGCCTCCAAATCTTTGCATTATCAAAGAAGAACTTCTTGAGCTTTGAAAGATATTTCATTTATTACAGAACCAGAACTCCGTGCTGTCTTTATGCCCACTTTGTTTACACTCACATTTTGCTCCACAAAATTAAAAGTAGAAAATAGGAAATATTTTATTTTCCAGAATATTGTACTATTTGGATTCAGAATTGAACCCCAAGGGAAAATTGACTCAGAATATCAAGACCTACTCATTACTCATTTATTTATGTTTTGGATTTAAAGGATTAAGTACAACTAGAAAAAAAATGTACTTTCACCTTTCACTTCATTTGTTGGTCTAGGAACTCCTTAGAAAAGTATTTGAAAAAAATAATTTTTTTTAAATGCACTAGGGTGGGTCATCTTTTAGTAACTTTTTAAAAAAAATTTTTATTAGTGAAACACCATGAGGTACAGTTGTAGACTTACAAATTTTTGTGCTTGGGTTTCAGTTATACAATGATCAAATACCCATCCCTCCCACCAGTGCCCATTTTCCACCACCATCATCCCAGTATCCCTCCCCACCCCCCCATAGTAACTATTTTTCAAGTATTTCACAGTCTAGTCTATTTTATTTTACTATTTCCAAATTTCTAAGTTAGGACAAGACAAGCATATGATTCATTATTTTTGTAAATGGTGCATTTCTTACCTGTACAGATTCCAGAATTTTATATTGATTCTTTTGAGTTATTTTTTGGATCCATCTATTAACTTGTCCATCTCAAATGAGGTCATGCAATATATGTGTGACTTACTTCCTTTTACATCATGCCTTGCAAAGTCCATATGGTTACACATGGCAAGATTTTCATCGTTCTACATCTTGCTTATTCATCCATCTACTAATGGACACTTAGACTTTTTCTGTATCTTGGCTGTTGTAAATAATGTGGCAAATAAAATGGAAATGCAAATAACTTTTGAGTCAGTGTTTTTATAACCTTCATATAAATAACATAAGTGGAATTGTTGGATAATAGATAGAGCTGTCTATATTTTTTGTGGAGGTGGGGAGTATCGTCCCAGATATTGAAATCAGGGCTCTAACACAAAAAAATAGACACTGGGACTGAGCTACATATCCAGCCCAATTTTTAATTTTGAGGAATATGTATCAAAGTTCCACCAGTATTTCTCAATTGTTCCCATTTTCTTACATCCTTTTTAGCATGTGTTTTTTCTTATATTTTTTACAGTAATTGATCTAAAAATGGTGAGGTTTAGCCTCATTGTGGTTTTGATTTGCTTTTCTTTAATGATTAATGATATTGTCCGTCTTTTTGTGTATCTGTTGTTTGTATTTGTCTCCTCTGGGAAAATATGTTCATTCAGATCCTTTTCTCATTTCAAAATATATTTTTTTGGTTTTTTGCTATTGAGTTGTATGAATTCTTCATATATTTTTAGATATTCATGCCTTATCAGTTTAAATTTGCAAGTCATTTTTTCCATTCTTTAGATTGCTTTTTCATTTTGTGGATGATTTTCCTTGCTATGCACAACATTTTGTTTTTAAATGTCTTTGTTGCTCTGTTTAGAAGACTTTCTAAAATAAAAGGATTTATCAACCCAATTTTATATTTTCTTTAAATTTTATATTTTCTTTAAAATTCATTGTTTTATTTAACTCTTTGCATGTAGTCTCTTGATTCTCAAACTTTTTTTTACAAAATTTAGAGTAATTTTACAAATAAATTTTTAAATCTACTGTAATTTCATATTTAAAATTTATACTTGTATCTTTACATTTATTGTTTTGCTTACTATTTGCATTTTATTTTGCTACTCTTCTTTTTTTAAATATATATTCACTTATTCATGATTCTCCCTTACTCTTCCTCCGTATTCTTGTAATCTTCAAGTTCTATTAACTTGTCAATCTCAAAACAACCTGTAATTGAATTAATAGATCAATCAAATAGGAGCTTCTAAGTTTTGCCTGAAAAGTACATGGTTCTTAAAAACTTACTTAAAGAAGAAAAAGCTGAATTGGGGATTTCAAGACGTAGTAAGAAATGTAAAGCATGTCCAGTTAATTTAAATTTTACATCTGGAAATACTGTTCTTCATTCTTTATCGTGTTACTGACTTTAATGTTCTTAACATGGTAAATGTATTTTATTTCCAGTGTTTCACCCAATATCCAGAAAATTATTTCTCAAAATGGGGGGTGTTGCCCTCACTTCCCACCACCCCAATAGGAAGACTCGGGTGGGAAAAGAGGTTGGTATTAGCTTCCCATTTAGTCACAGGGCATTTTCTGTTTGTTTCCTAACAGAAGAAGGTAGAATTCCAGTGTAGCACTGTAGCCCTGTCCTCCGTTGTCCATTTGCTCGAGCAGGGACCAGTAACGTCTCCATTGTGAGACTTGTTACTGTTTTTGGCATATCGAATACATCACGGCTAGATTGCCAGGCTTTTGCCATGCGGGCGCGATACTCTTAGTAGCTTGCTGAGATTTCCAGGGTAGTGATGAGAAATTTTTATTCCTAAAAGGGGGTAGTAGACCAAAGAAGTTTGTGAACCTCTAGTGGTCTAGTGTATAATAACAACCCAATACAAACTTTTGAGTTAAAGAACCTAAGCATTTGGGGCCAGAGAGATAGTACAGGGGATAAGGTACTTGCCTTACATTCATAGGTTTGGCCTCCAGCACCACATATAGTGCCCTAAGCACCTTGAGGAGTGATCCCTGGGCACAGAGCCAGGAGTCAGCGAAAAGCACCACCAGGTGTGACCCCCCTCCCCCAAACAACAACAGAAAAGACAGACATTACGCCTTCCATTTTCCTTACTAAAATCTACACTTCCAATCCACAAAAGCAAGGAAATTTAAAGAGAATCTGCCAGGTTTGAACTGGGAAATGCTCAGCTATGAGTGGTCTCATTGCTCTCCTCATTTCCAAATGTGACACCATATTGATTGCAAAGAGAACTCTAGAAAATATTTGCTAAATCCACCTTTGACTCTTTCTACAATAGGTTCATGACCCCAAGATTGCATGTCTACAAAACTATTTCAAAACAGCATTTCAAGTGTCTTCCTTTGAGAGATAAAGCAAATACAGCAAAACATGGTGAATCTAGGTGAAGGACATAAAGGTATTCATTAAGCTACCCTGGCTTAATGAACATAAGACTGAAACAACAAAATAAAATATTGTTGGAGAAGTAATTTAATAAAAAGAAACACAACTGAAAATGCTGAAAGTGCCTCCTGTTAATGACCACATCCTGATTGGGAGAAGAAATGGTTATACAGTAAGATGTTTCATAAGTGGTCTAATCACTCAGAAAATTAAATATTTGAATAATTCAATCATGTTTATGATTGCTGGTCTTCATCTATGAGCGTTGTTAATTCATAAGAAAGATTTATAAGATAAAAGGTAAAATAAAATTGCATAAAATAAAGAGAATTCTCAAAAGAAGATTCTCACTATACATCGTAAAATCTGTTATACTAGTAATTTAAAAGGTAAAAATGAATGCAATTATCAGCATTCTTATTTCATTAGAATTCTGAAACGTTTTCTTTTTTAAAAGAAAAACTAAGGCATCATGATTTACAGTGGCATTACATTAATGATTTAGGAAAACAGTTTTACTGCACCACACCCTCCACCAACACTCATATTTATCATAAGAAGGAAAAATAAAAATCAGGCACCTGTAGTTCTGTGTCATAAACATAAGTGGATACATGTTTCTGATAGTTCCTATTGACAATTCATATATATTTTAAAATATTTTACAATGTCGAAACCCATTATTTCCTCCAAAAATTCTATTTAAGGAATTTATTCTGGAGGGAAATAGATAAGAATGCTACTATATAGTATGTATTTTACGTATACAAAAGCTCATGTTGAAAATTCTAATATGTTAGAAAAACTAGACAAAATCTAAATATCAAGGAACAGACTCTTTTGAAAATTAGAGTATATTCATATCATGGAATATATTATAATCATTAAAAAGTACATTGTAGCAAGTGGCATTATAGAAGAATACTCAGGAACAGAATGATTTTTCATGACATATGAAAATTCCAGGGACTCTGCATCAGTCTGTGGGGTGGGTGAGAGCCCTCCACATCCCAAGGGACCCAACCCCAACAGCTGACCTCCACTGCCCAACCACCGCCACTCTGCTCCAGGCCGCTTTCCAGATGCTCAGGTTGAGCCTCACGCAAGAATGAAGTCTCACAGATCCCAGATAATGAGAAACTTTGTGACCTTGGACTCTGGACTCAACAGGATGGAACAGAGATCCTCTGCCTGCTTTCCCCAGTCTCTAGTGACTCAGGGATTACACCCAGTCGGCACCAGATAATCTCATCAGCCACCCTCCAGCACTCAGGATGCTCCTCCCAAACCAGAGTATAAAGACACTTCCTACACATTTATGCCTCTTGGAGAGCCCAGCAAGCTACAGAGAGTATCCCACCCACATAGACAGAACCTGACAGGCTCCCCGCGGCGTACTCGATATTCCAAATACAGTAAAGACAATAGGTCTCATTCCCCTGACCCTGAAAGAGCCTCCAATTGTTGAGAAAAGAAGAGTAAGAAGAAGCTGCTAAAATCTCAGGGCTGGGAGGAATAGAGGCATTACTGGCGCCCGCTCAAGAAATTCGATGATCAATGGGATGACAGTGATACAGCGATACAGTGATGAAAAATTCAAGTGCTAAACATGCAGCATAATGTAAAAAATATAAAACACTATCTTAACTGTTTAGCTGTTTATGTCAAGTTAGATATGGTTCTAATTTTTTCTCTATTTCACCAAATGTCTGCATATGTGATACTTCCATTATCTAAAATCACATATTTAAATAATATGTGGCACTTCCATTACTTAAAACCACCCCTATTATTGTTAAAAACAAATTCTACTTTTGGCTAAATTTAGCCGTAATTGTGCTGACCCATGGTGACTTGTTGCAGATTAAGCGATAGTGGAAATTTAAGCAGGAAAGAAGTAATTGTGGGCTGTAGGGAGTAGGTAGGGACAGAATTCCCTAGCAGTGCTAGCTGGTCTGGGGGAGAGGGGTCACTCCTGGTAATACATGGCTCGTAGTGAAGACCTGGTGACTAGTTCAGTGCTCAGGCCTGATGATATGGAACTGTTGTGCCCAGTGGTGCTGAGGGTCACCAGGACCCCACCCAGCTGTGCTCAGGGCTCATGCAGTAATAACTCAGGGTCTGGCACATGCAAGATAGGCACCTCAGAGGTTAGGAAACTATCTATCTATCTATCTATCTATCTATCTATCTATCTATCTATAGTGATGGGGCTGGAGTGATAGCACAGCGGTAGGGCGTTTGCCTTGCATGCAGCCAACATGGCTGACTTGAGTTCAATTCCTCCGCCCCTCTCGGAGAGCCCGGCAAGCTACCGAGAGTATCTCGCCCGCACGGCAGAGCCTGGTAAGCTACCTGTGATGTACTCGATATGCCAAACACAGTAACAACAAGTCTCATGATGGAGACGTTACTGGGCACGCTCGAGCAAATCGATGAACAACGGGAGAACCGTGACCGTGACATATATAGTGATATGTATATAGGCACAGGAAGTGCTCAGGGCTCACTCACAGCAGTGCTCTCTGGAATCACTTTGGTGGATCTTGGGGAAGATGTAGGGATACCAGAAATCTGACCCAGATCAACACTATGCAAGGCAAACACATTTCCACCCACTGTACTATCTTTCCAGTTATATATTTTTAAGGAATAGTCTTCCTGTTGTCTAAGGAGGACACATTGATTTGCCTTTTGCCAGAAGTTAGACACTAGTGTTGTATACACTCTAAAAAGGAGATGTGGCCCGCTCCTCTCTGGAAAGAAAGATGGCGGCCGCACTGGAGCCTTATGGAAAGCAGGTTTGAGCCGGGGCTGGCGGGAGCGGCAGGGACCTCATGGGAAGGGGGGCTTTGTGGGCCGTCCCCCACGCCCCACCGAGGTCGCCAGCTGCCCCCCACGAGCGGCTCTCCGGCACGGCCACGACTCCAGGGCACAGAAACCAATCTCTTAACTATCTAACTTTTAATAGAAATTCTTCCAGGGTCAATAAGTAAAATAGCAGAAATTCAAAACCGCGCGGCCGCAATAGCGGCCGCGCGACATCATTTTATTCTTAAACCAAGTTGTAGAAAGCAAATCATTTCACAACGCTGTTTCAGCATGTCTGATTGTGGGGGGTGGGTCGTAAACTCTAAACAATAATTGTGCATCTTCTATCGAAATAATCTATCTAGTCAAAGTAGATAGAGTATTAACTAGAACTCATCTGCCTCACAAGAATTGGGAGGGGTGGGAGGTGGGGGTCTATTGGGGTTCGGGGTTAAAAATGAGTATTGGTAAAGGGAAATGTGTTTGGTATCTACATGACTGAGTCCTAAACCCAAAAGCTCTGTAACTTTTCCCACAGTGATTCAATAAATAAATAAATTAAAAAAAAAAAACTAAAAAAAAAATAAATAAAAAGGAGATGCTTCTGTTTTTCACCTATATCCCCAGTGATGTTTGAAGGAAAACCAGGTATATAGGTAAAATCTTGATGCCTTGAAAAAGTTCACTTCTTTCTCAGTAGATTGATATTTCAATTGATATTTCAGGAGTGGTCTCTGTGTTTCTGCAGCTTACTCATTAACAAATAATTTACTTTCAGGTTACCTACTTTAGTAGCTTTTAGTCTGTAGCTTTAATTATAGCTCTAGGAAGCCACTATTCTCTGTAAGTGAGCAAAGTTTTGATCTATCCTGGATTTGGTTCCTGCCACCCTACCCCCCATGATTCAGTAGGTTTTCACTATACTCATTCCTGCCAATATAATAATAATAATGATAATAATTCTACCTTGAACATTTTGCATATTGATTTTTTTGCATAAGCTTTTTCTTTGAAAATATGTTCCACATGTATTTGTTTGTTGTTCATACCTGATGGTGCTCAGGGATCACTGATGGTAGTGCTCAGGGGACCACTATATAGAGTTGGTATCAAACCCGAAATAACAGCATGCAAGGCAAATTTCTTAATCGCTGTACTAGCTCTCTAGCCTACCCAAGTTTTATATATACTTTCGTTTGCTTTGTTTTGCTTTTGTTTGTTTGGGGGCTATACTGGGTGGTGCTCAGGGCTTCCTCCTGGCTTTGCACTCAGGGATCACTGCTGGAAGGCTTGGGAGACCACATGGAGTGCCCGGGATTGAACCCTGGTTGGCTGTGTACAAGGTAAACTCCCTACCCACTGTACTATTGCTCCAGTCTCACACTCTATATTTTTAAAAGGGTAGGCAAGATCTTGAAAGTAATGAACGTAGTCATCCAACGTTTGTGAATTAATGAAATCTGTCTTTCTGATTGGTTGATAATTCTGGAATCAAAGAAATAACAGTTCCTTTTCAGAGGAAGATGTGTAAAATAGGCAAACTTAAGAGAAGCTTGAAAATGAGTAGCCATCTGTCAGATGATATTGGGGTCTGGTAATCAGGGGTAAGGGCAGTGTACAAAAGGGACTCACCTTCCCATAAATGGTGATAATTCAGTATAAGGCAAATGAAGCGGGACTGGAGATGGTTCTGTGACCAAGTGATAAACTATGTTCACTACCAACTAAGGAATGCAGAGTTTAATATTTAGGTAACGAGGAGCTTGCATTACCAGAAAGGTAACTTGTCCAGAATTTTCTGATTTTAGAACAGTACATGTGAAACAGTATCATCACTGACTTACCAGAATGTATAGAACAGAACAGAATTTGTTGAAAGAAAACCAGGTCAAATTTGAAGTCAGTGTAGATGAAGAATTAAAAGAGTGACAGCCACTACATGACAGACCTACAGGGTATCTTGCTGAGTGAAGTCAGCCAGAAAAAGAGGGACAAATACAGATTGATCTCTCTCATTTGTGAGATGTAAAGAAATAAGTAATGAAGTAACAAATAGACAATGGCAACAGAACCGGAAAGTTGGCCAACAGAACTGAGTTTATCAATGGGGTGTAAAGTTGAGTCAAAGGGGACCTTGGGACATTGGTGGAGGGTCACTGATATTCTAATGGTGAGTATAGTATTGTATAATTGTATATGTGAAACTCTATTATTATACAGCACCTAAAAATATCTGGGAAAAAATAAGAGAATGGAAGTATTTCCATAATGAAAATTTTGTTTAGAAGCAAAGAGTTAAAGAGATGAGCTTGAGGATAATAAATTTCTATGAGGATAGGTGAGAATGATTTCACTAGGGAGGCTATATCAGGGACAGAGGACACTGGGTCATTAGCTTGCTAAGGACAGTTGTAATGAAATACGAGAAGCCAAGGCAGAACACTGAATTGATACACTCAATTCTTGGATGACAAATAGGAAGAACAAAAATTCCATTTCTGCTTTAGTTCTGATGTGGCCATGTGAAAAGCAAAACTCAAATTAAGTCCAGTAAACGTAATTTCCTCGGACAATTGATAACTGCAACTTTCTAGCTCACTCTCTCCTTCGGTAAACAAATGGTGAAGACCGGGTTCTAATCATACTATTGGCATCTGTGATCCCAAAGTCTAAGTGAGTGGCAGAATACTGAATAGTGGTTTCCCATAAGTAAGGCTTTGACTTTTTCAGAATTTCAGTGCCTATTCACTGGGAAATTGAATTTGTGAAGGCTTCTCTTGCCTTGCACATTCAAAGTCTAACTGATTGGTCATATAGTTTACAAAAAAGAAAACAAATTTATTGTGACAGAGACTGCTTTAATAAATCCTTTTGAAAGTTTCTCTGACAGGTCTTACATAAATAAATAGCTTTTTAAAAAGTGGACTTCAAACCACAAGTTTTAAAGTTTACCTCTGGTTTTTCTAGGAAGAAAAAGAAATTTTTTCATTTGGAACTTCACAATCAATTACAGCTGTACTTAAGAACACTCTCAATAGTTCTTTTAGTTACTTTTTGGTGTGCAATATAAATGAAGAATACAAAAGAAAATTGAGGTATTTTTAATTTAATTTCTCCTAAATACCTTTCCAAAAAAGTCATGCTCACAACTTTTCAACAGTTTTATAGGGAACTATATGAAAGAAAATTCCAATGACAGAATGTACAAAAATGTTGTTTATATATAGTAGAATAAAATATATACTGGGAGCACTATTGCTGTGGGAAGAAGGGTCTGATCTTCATAGACATCTTCTTCAGTGAATACCAGGAGCCCCTCCAGTTCATCCAGACCACTCCATCATCTGTGCCATGCTTTGACATGTCCCAGCTATACTGGCCACCCCAGTAGTATCTGCCATTTGGATTAGCTGCATGACATCTGTTGTACCACCATCCACCGCCATCCTCTTTAGAACACTGTTTTTTGGGATCTGCATTATGCCTGGAGGAAAGGGGTTTGGAGTTAGTAGGATTTCAGTGATGTCTACTTTATTCTTTGTAAAGTATCTACAGAGGAGTCTTGCACCTGATGGAACCCTTCCTTCTGGGCTCTTTAGTCAAGTCACAATTCACCAAAAACTTTCTGTGACCAAAAGCAAGAAAGGTAGGGAAGTGGACCTACACGGGAAATTCCTCTACTGGTTATATTTGTTACTTTATACTATAGCTTACAACTCCCTTATTCTTAGAGAACTTAAGGGACACACAGTGAAGTTTTTACTATGCATCTTAGTTTAAAGAGATGGAAAAATTTATCTGACTATTTACTACTCAGAAAGTAACTCTAATTTCAGTTCTATCTTTTGATAGTTGTACAATGGTGGATAAATTACTTAATCTCTCTAGCTAACATCTGTGAAATGAGAATAATGATGGAAAACTGATGGATTATATGATTTTGACTCTCTGTGTTTGCCAAGAAGGTTGACACCTCCCCCAATAGGGAGTTGGGGGCACTGGAAAGATCCGAAGAATGGACAATTGGGACCATAGGCCAAATATGTCTGGGCACTTCTTCAAGAGCTTGCTATAGTGATTGATACATGGTGAACCCCCCATAAATGTCAGTATTAATAACACTTGCTATAATAAATTATTTCAAGCAATTAGAGTACTAGTGGCTTTTAAAGAAGAAGAACAAAACAGGACGCCTACCAGCCATCGTTGTCTCTGTCGTAGGTGCTGAAGTACATGCCATTGTGAATGGTCATAGTTCTGTTTTCTCCTACCAGCTGTGATGCTCCTTCCATGAGGGCATTGCCAGCTGTGCCTTTGTATTTGTTCACTGAGATTTGGTATTTGTTGCCCTCGTTCTGTACAGTGAATCCTCCATAAAGTGCCTTTACTTTATCTCCTTTCCAGTCTTCCATTTCAATCAAAAGTTCTGTGGGACCCATCCGGGTTAGCTGACTGATTTTATCATTTCCAAGCCAATACTCACCTAAAGAGAAAAGGAAAATAAAATCTCACCAAGATATAAAAAGTGGAACCAGAGACATAATAGGGTGTTTGCCTTGCATGAGGCTGACCTGGGTTCAATTCCTACCATCCCTGGTGTTCCAAGCACCCCCAGGAGTAATACCTGAGTACAGAACCAGGAGTAACCCCTGAGCACCACTAGGTATAAACAAACCAAGTTAAAAAACTCAAAACAACAAATGTAGAATAAAAACTTCTCTTATTTCTAGCTTTTTCACTTTTGATGTAAAGTATCCTGAACATGTCCCAAATTTCTAAAAATAAACTCTCAATAAAATGTCTTTTTTAAATAGTAAGTGAGTATTTCAATAGAATGGTTTCATTTTATACCCGAAACTTTTACCTGGCACGCCACAGTATTTTTTATCATCTGCATTAGTTGCAATATTTCCAAATCCTTGTTTATATGGTTCCCATTTCCTGCCAAAGTCAACACTGCCATCCTGCCGGTTCTGAATAACTGTCCATCCTTTGGTTTGAAGAAACAAAAACAGCACATATTAAGAAATAAATAATGTTGCTTGAGGAACTGAGTTCCTTCCTAATTTAATTCGTATCATACCATCTAGATTTATTACTACAAAGTAGACATGACAAGGGCATAAATATGAGAGGAAAACTTTTAAAGTCTTTGGAAATCACAAGTGCTTTATCTTCACCCCAAATTATGACATGTAAGTATTTTATAAAGTCTAAAACATCAGATTGAATTCCAAATCAAATGAGTCATTTTAAATTATGTTAAATCTAGGTTTAGTTCCTTTAGTATGATTTCAAAACACATAGAAAAATGCACCAAAACATTATCAAATACCGACCTCCATTTTCTGTTTCCATATCACAATATACTTTATATGGTTTGATAGATTTTTCAGGCTGGATGAGATACATTTCAGATGTTTCACCTCCTTTCCTGATAATTTCCTCACACTCTGTAACCATAAAACAGCATATTATATTCATTGAATTCTAACATAATTACCTCGATTATCAATTCATAACCGATTGCATAGGTTACCAAGGAATGCTTTATTTAGATATTTAAGACTATGCTATAGAGATGGAATCTTACTTTTTACTGAAAGTCAAACAGTTTGGAAGAGACAAAAGTCCTTTTCCACCTTTTCTTTCATGGAATATTCTCAAGCTGCCAGAACAGTAAGATGGAGGAACTCCTAGACCTCATAATGATTTGTCATATCTATTCAAAGCAGTCAAATGTGTGCAGTATATACACAGACCTACTACTGTCTTTACATTACATTCTGCTTGAGAGAACTGGAATATTAGTAGGTGGGGGAGGGAAACTAAGGACATTGGGAGAGGGAAGTGGACAGTGGTGAATGGATTAATGTAATATTGTATGTTTTAAACCCAATCATGAGCAGCTTTGTAATTCATGGTGACTACATAAATTTTTATTTTAAAAACTGCAAATTAAACTATGTTAGATAGCTTTATCTACATCAAATAAACTAAGGCTACCTTCACTATGTACTTAATGCCATTAAATTCTACTGGGAAGATTTATTGGACATTTTTTTTCAGTTTTTATTTTCAGAGATTAAGTGAACCTGAATATTTCCAGAAATATGCTTATTTACTAGTTACCTTTGCCAGTTACCACAGGAATATTGCAGCTGACGGTACATGGGGTGCGGCAGTAATCCATCTGCATTGAAACATCAGATTCTAATTTTTGTATTTTGCTTCTCAAGTTTTCCAGGATGGAACGGAGCACTTGGATATTAGTTGGAATATTACTATTCACAGTCTCATCTATATATAACCTGTAGTTTTCTAGTGCTGAGGAATACTCATTTATTACATTTTCATTATCTGGAAAAAAAGAAATTAGGTAGGAAAATTAGTAGTTTATTCCCATTTGAAACTAAAGATATTCATCCTTATCATTGTAATTTTAATTTTCTAAGAATAGTTACTGAGCATAGTTGGGCAACTATGACATGTAGCTGTACTTGGGGGAAATTATTGGCTCATGGCATACACATATTTAAACATAATTTAGCTATCACACTGCTGATTAACTTTAGGTGTGAGCTAAAATTTAATGACAATAAATAAATACAAGAGGTTATTTATTTCTTTGGTGAGTAGAAAAGGACCTAACAGCATTAGGGTGTCCATTCAGAAGTTTACCATTGATGAAGTACATCCACTAGATCTATGTATTCTCACATATGAGGAGAGTTGAGTCATGATAGTCATAGGAGCAATATCATGAGTTCTCTGAAAGAATGTCCTAATCTGCATGTGCTACCCACAGAGATGCCTATATGGGACTCATTGACAAGCAGACACCTACCCACCAATTCAATAGCAATCAATTCTAAACTCTATCCTTTAGAAGGTTAGGTATCATTCTCCACAATTTATTTGAGTATGTCATGGTGGAAGTACATATTCAAAACTTAAAATGCTATGCACATGTGCTAAATTATTACATTGTACTGTTGTTTTGAGTTAGAACAAGTTTCTGAAAGACTAAAACTCAAGAAACACAATGATGTTTTTCCAGGAAACATCCTCTCTTATGCCATACTGAAAATAAGTGTTGGATAGTGCTTTTCTGGCAAGTTGCAGATGAAAATGGCACAGTAAGAACCTCAAGATAACCAGAAACACATTAATGGCAGTCTGAATGCTATGTGAGCTCCTACAAATACTAATAGTCTCACAATTGTACAATCCTGTGGCAATCTAAGAGTTACAGGATTAAGCAGAAACTACAAAGATGCCTACCTTTCACTTGCTTCTGCCGTTTTTTCCACATGTCTTTTAGCAGAGTCATATACTGGAAGGTGCTAGAAGAGGTCTCGGAAAGTGAGTCCATGTTATTACTTAACTCCCTTATACTGCTTTTGACGGTTCTTTCCTGATTTACCAAAGCATCTTGCAACTGACATCCAGTAGGACACAACACGCCCTGCGAATAAAGAAGACAGCAGGTTTCAGATGAGAAGTTTGAGTGGTGGGTGTCTGTGGAAAAGTGACTACTAAATATTCAATCACATCATCAACCAATTGAAGAGAACTTGCTATTTGTGTGTCTTTAAGAATCTAGATTCTTAGAGTTACCACATTCTTGGGAAGACTAAAAGTTGTCCTTACCACAGAACAAATGTAGCTGAGCAAAGGAAAATGTACTAGCTAAACAAAAATAATTAGGCTAACTTAATACCTCTTTTGCAAACCACAACACCCAAAAGGAGAGAGAGAACAAAAGGGAATGCCCTGCCACAGAGGCAGGGTGGGGTGGGGGAATGGGAGGTGGGAGGGATACTGGGATCTGTAGTGGTGGGAAATGGGCATTGGTGGAGGGATGAGTATTTGATCATTGTATAATTGAAACCCAAGCACAAAAATTTGTAAGTCTACAACTGTACCTCATGGTGTCTCACTAATTAAAATTTAAAAAATAATTAGAAATAAAAAAAATAATCAGGCTAAGTTCAAGGGTAAAGTAAGGTCCAGTACTTTAACTGCAATAATATATGCATCTTAAGAAAGCCAGGATGAATCAGTGCGGTTTTTTTTTCTGTGGTAGGGCAGGAGAAACCTATCACAGGAAGAAACAGTCACCCACCAGGTCGGTGTCAGCATGTAGACAGCCTCCGGCATTGGGTGGTTTTCTTTCCTGTTTCTTTTGGCTGCCAGTAGCTTTGGGTGGGCGAGCGCGATAGCCACCCCCGCTGATGGGGGGTGGTGCAGGTCTTAGGCTCGGAGCTTCTTCCCTCTTCCTATCAATGGGACGATGGCCACGGGCATCCACTGATGGCTGCGGAGAACCAAACAGAGGTCCAATGGAGAGCAGAAATCAAACGGAAGTTGTTCAACACCCTTATATGAGCTACTCCTTTTACCCTAAGGAGTGATGATTTGCTTCCAGTTCATCTACGGGCTTCATTGTTGGTAAATCAATGGAAGGTGATTTAGATCATTTCAGTAAGTGGTAAAAAGAGCAATTGCCTAAGAAGTTATTATACCTGAGCCAGTTTTTGGTTTCTTTGGTTTGCTTTGGGGGCTACACTCAGCTGCGCTCAGGGTTCACTCCTGTCTCTGCACTCAGGGATCACTCCTGATGAGTTCAGGCGACCATATAGGATACTGGTGACCATATGGGTTGGTCTTGTGCAAGACAAATGCCTACCCCCTGTACTATCATTCTAGCACCAACAAGCCTAAAGTGAGACCCCTAAAATAAAGCTCCACCAGATTATGAAGTTCTCACATTTCTACACTGTAACACATAAAATTCTCTGTTATCACAACAATAAACATTTTCAAACCACTTGGATTACTGAACTTCTATAAACATTTTATCAGCTTCTATGAATTGATTAATTTGTATATACTATTGTATAATTGTATTTAATAGATAATACATATTTGCTTTAAAAAAACAGAAATTTACCTAGAACTTAATTTGGAATAAGACAACCTAATATTTTTGGAGAGGAGTAAGGAACATGAGCCGTACTGCTTGGCTTCAAGTTTTATCTCTGCCCCTTATTGGAAAAACGATTTTGGACCTATTGATTTGGGTCCAGTTTTCCTTTCTGTAAAAATGGGAGTAATAGTATCTAAGAAAGATTGCTATAAAGGTTAAATGATTTACTGTATCAGACATCCTAAGAAGAGTACCTGACACATACCAAGCACTGTTATTATTATTCCTACTACATAGAATAGATAGTAGACTTTAAGTGACTTTGCCTCTGATTCCATTCTATTCTTATCTTCTATCAGAAAAAGAGTTTGTTAAACTACTGTCATAAAATTTTCTAGATGATTTATCTTAAAAACACAACTTTCTCATATTTAAAATAATAGTGAAAGATATCTAAAGATAATAAAGTAAAAAATGCAACACAATAGAATGGTTTGTCTTCTATTAACTATATTATAACATGGTCTTTAAAGGTAATTCCATCCCATGAGACTTAATTACAAATTAATAATTATGATTCACTGGTTTTTATAATTCAAATTTAAAAGAAGGAAGATATTTATGTTTTATTTTAGAATACCAGTAAGGAAGTAGCATTAGTGGTCTTAGCTATGCTAGAGGAAAAGAAATAAAAAAGAAATCATGTGGGTATTTAGGTTTATAAAGACTACTAATTGACAGAGCTAAAAGTAGATAATCCCTTTTGCAGCATGAACTGTTAGACTGTGTCTTTGAGACTTAGTTTGCCTTAAGAATGTAAAACTGCTTAGCCAAGAACTTTACTTAAAACTTACTCTTAAGCATTGTTCACATTTGTCTTACCTAATGCAATTAACCAGATAACTATCTTTTATTTGTATAGATTGATAATTAAAATGTCTTAGCTTCCCTTTAAATTTGGCAAGAGATTCAAAGTAAATCATTTCACTAAAATATAATTGCATACTCTAATCTCTCGATTTGTTGTTACTGTGTTTGGCACTGTGTTTGGCATATCGAATACGTCACGGGGAGCTTCCCAGGCTCTGCTTTGCGGGCGAGATACTCTCGGTAGCTTGCCGGGCTCTCCGAGAGGGGCGGAGGAATCGAACTCGGGCCGGCCATGTTGGCTGCATGCAAGGCAAACGCCATACCGCTGTGCTATCGCTCTAGCCCCAACCCCTCCAGCCTTCGAGCAAATCAACGAACAACGGGAGGACTTTTACCTTTACCTTACCTTTACTCTAATCTCTGCTGAGGAATTATACAGTTATAACAAAAAATCTGTCACTTGTCACTGTCACTGTCCTCCCGTTGTTCATCAATTTGCTCGAGCGGGCCCAGTAGCATTGTGAGGCTTGTTACTGTGTTTGGCATATCAAATATGTCAAGCTATGTGTGGGCGAGATACTGTCGGTAGCTTGCCGGGTTCTACAAGAGGGGCAGAGGAACTGAACCCTGGTCAGCCGCATGCAAGGCAAAAGCCCTACCTGCTGTGTTATCGCTCCAGCCCAACAAGAAGTCTGATCACGATTAATTTGATAATAAAATTATTTAAATATTCACTTCCTTAAATGCACTTCTATAAATATGTTTTATTTTTACTTATTTGGGAGTCACCTCTAGTGGTGCCCAAGGGCTTAGAAATAGCTCCATGCAAGACAGTGGCCTATCCGCTCTGCTATCTCTCTGGTTCTGCACTTATGTACTTTATTTTATAATTTCAAACAAGAGGGAATAAGTTTGCAAAATAGTACATGAGAAAAAATTGTTTTACAAATAAATACAGTGACCTAGTTGGGTGCTTTATAATCAATAGTAATAATAACAAATATACCTGTGACTTAAATTTTCTGCTTTGAAAATAAATTTTATTCTCCATAATTGAATTTTGTTTATTTGACTTTTACAGATAATTTCTAAATACCTAGCAGTTTCAGGAACCAAATTTTATTCTCCTTAATTAATGAGCAAGCTGCCAGCTTGTCTTCTTTTAAAATATTATTTTATTATTTTGCCATCTGCAAAATTTTCAGATCTTATTCTTATAATTGTTCTTATAATTCTTATAAATATATACACAACTAAATAAAAATAATACTCAGAAGAAATAGTGTGGAAAAGCAGACCTTACCTGAGGTTTGTTATCTTCTTCCTGAAAAAGTAAAGATCAGAAACAAGAAAATAACAAATTATTATTTTGATTTATATTATATGACATTTCTTGAATAAAAGTTTCTCAAGATTGGCAATTCAATTCACAATAAAAATCAAAGTTAATTTCATTAAAATAGATAGACACATGTAATTAAGATTATTATATTTTATAAAATAATATACATGATTATATTAATTATTAAAATTAGCAAAAATATAATAATAATTTAAAAAATCACCTCAATGTAATCATAGTCTTTGCTAGCTTGGGAACTAATTATAAAAAAGCACGAAAATAACAGTAAAAGATATTTCATGGTTTTAAATTTTTGAAAATTCCAAGAAGCCATCTTTTGCCTGTGAATTTAACTGAGAGATCACCAATCTTATATATACCTGCATCCTCTGTTAGTTCTGACTCTAGAAACAGTTATCTTCCTTTGTTAATATTTAATTCTTTGACTCACTTGTTGGCTGAACCATTTTATCCCTTAAGCAACATTTTCCCAGCAAGACATATTTGCTTGTCATACAACTATTCTCCTTTGTTGGCCAAATTTAGAAACACCAAAGTTCTTTATCACATTAAACAATATGATGGGAAATTAGAATGTTCCTAAAAAAGATGTGTTTCACATTTCCGGTAAATTAATGATGTTACAAAGGGTGGCATAGAATGTGTAAAGGAAAAAATATTTTTAATCTAGACATAAAAAACTGTTTAGAAGCAATAATATGATTCTGTATTATTAAAGGGGATTATTAAAATAAGGAATAATGTCATGTCACTCTGTATATATATATATTCTTTATTTGTATGTTAATAAGAACAAAATTATAACTCATGCCAATACTATAATAGACAAACAAAAAAAGAAAACTTCAAACCTCACCACTTTTATTTTTGTCCTTTAATATTTAGGTTAAAACATGCAGAAAATTATCTAAATATTATTAAACTAAATAGTATGTTACAGATTTATAAATCAAAATATTATCATGGTGATTATATAAATTTAACATTTATTGTGTATGACACATGCTGTTTGTAAAAAATGTTATTTTAACATTGAATAAAACTTAGTGCCTCTATTTCAAATAAATGGGGCTTTTGTTATATAGATACTTTCCTATCATCATTTCCTCTATGTCACCAAACCTATTTCTCTTGTCTTTTCATTTGCTACAGTCAGAATGAACAATAACCACAAGAATCAATAAGGAAATTAAAGTTGTCAACAATATAAATTCCAGTAACATGTGCTGCTTATAACGCATTTTCTATTTTTAACTTATATGAAAGTGAAAATTTCTCATTAAAAAATGTTAATAATTTTTGGGGGGTGGAGAAAGAGCTTCTGAGTAGTATCAGGGCTCCCAGAGGCCATGTCCAGCATTATTTAACCAGTGTGGCCAGCAGTTCAATGTGAGGGCCCAAGGATGTGGTGCTACTCAGATTGTGATGGAGACCATGGGGCTGCAAGCACAGGCAGGACATTTATCCTAACCCTTGGGCTCTCTCCCTCACCCTTGCAACCCTTACAAAATGATTTTATTAGAACCATAGCAGGTTATCCGGCTTTGGGTCAGGAGAGTATGTTGCAAACAGTGCTGTGAGAAGGATTCTTCACAATGGTATGAGACCCACCAAATTGCTTTCTTCTCCTGCTAGCATAAATGGTATTTCCAAATTCTCTAACTAGATAAACCCTTGACTGGGTTTTGTAGCTGTTATTTGGAGGAGGGGGTCTGAGGGTGGTGGGGAAGGGGTTGTGAGACACGCAGCAGTGCTCAAGGCTAGTTCTGGCTCTGAGTTCAGAGGTCATTCCTAGTAGGCTCTGGGACAATGTGAGATGCTGGGAATTGAACACGGGTTAGCCAATAGCAAAATAAACACTCTACATGCTGTTCTATCTCTTAGACCCCGTTTTTGTTTGTATTTTTAATAAATTAAGTTTGTAACCCATTTATTAGTAAAGAGTAAGTATTCTAAGATTCATTTTAATGTTTCTTAGATATACAATCTGAAAAAAAAAGAAGCAAATTTCTTATTCCTTATTTGTATTCTTATTTCTTATTTGTTAAATTAAAATGCAATAATTCTTCCTTTTAAAGTAATTGAGGGGCCTGGAAGACAGCTCAAAGAGCTGAAGTACAAGATTTGCCTGCAGGAGGCCTGGGGCCCAGCACTGCTGGGAGTTACCTCTGAGCACTAAGTCAAGAGTAGCCTTGAGACAGTCTAGTGTGACTCAAAAATAAACAAATGCAATAGAACCAAAACAATTTGAATGTAATAGAGCAAAGGTTTATGTTAGTACTATTAGATTCTTGTTGATTTTGAAAAACAAATTACTGGGACTGGGGAGGTAGCTCTATGGATAACAGTTGATGCCTGGAATACAGAGACCCAACATCGATCCCACGTGTGCCCCTGAACACCCACTACTGGGGTGCAGTCCCAAGAATGAGCAGGATTGCCCCTGATAGCTGTATTGAACTCGGCCCCCTGATCACAGCTTAATGGATCCTCTCAACAGCAACCGAAACACACATGACATTTTTTTTCTTCTGAGATAACAGTCTCATGTCATTCAGCTTCAAGCGCTGACAGGCATTTTGTCAACTTAATAATAGATCCATCATTAAATTCATAGAAATGTTTGATAATAGAACTATCATTAAATTCTCAGAAGTGTGTGCACCTTTTAAAGTTTCTTCTAGCATACAATAAGTCATGGTCTATATTAAAATTAAAAATTCCGTTCAAGTTATACTTTTCCCTCCTCTGAAATTCTTGCCCACATCCTCAGGAAAGTGGAAGGAAATGAATGGCTAGCTTGTGTCCTCCATAAGAACAGTGACTTAACATTTCTTCCACCAACAGTTCTTGAGAATGTTCTATCCATCAGGCATTGTGTGAGGGTCTGGGCATTCCCCTGTGAGCAAGTTGGACAGAGTAAGCAGCCTATAAATAATTGTGAGTTCAATTATTTGAACGAGGGAACTCAAGGTTTCAATGAAACATTTCTCCGATGCCAAGTCTTGACAATCATTCATTTTACTTAACTCCTGGAACCATTCACTTCTACAAACAAGGAAATGAAGACTCCAGAGGCTTAAAGAAACCAACTAAGGTTACAGTTAGGAAATTCTGGTACCAGGAAACAGTCCAAGATCTACTTTTCACTAAAGTCCATGCTCTGTGCTCATTAAACTGTTATGCCCAACAAAATATAAATGTGATGAAGAAGTGATCTGGAATGTGTTTGTTTGTGACTAGGGTTGCTGTGGCCAGCCTGTTGTATTGGGCTTGGGTGGATGGTGTCTCGCAGGGAAACAGTCTTATCTTCACGTATTGTTTCATCCTTGTATCTGGGTGTGTGTGCAGATATTCATATTTACGTGAAAGAAATGCTCAGTGCGGTGATAATGTCTATGAGTTTCTCAAATGTCCTTCTTCCAAGATTTCTTTTCCTGCTGAATTATATACAGGACACCTACACTCTGAACCACTGGTACTGCAAAATAAATTAGCATGTTCGCAAAAAGCAGAAATATATTTGGAGATAACATATTTTTTAATTTAAAAAAATATCTGTTTCATTGGTGAAAGAAGAAGGGAGTACTATTTGTTCTCAGGTCAATAGTGCAGTGATGTCCTTAATAGCTGATACCTTGATGCCGTTACATAAGTCAAGGGCAGTAAATCAGTGACAGATAAAACAGATAATCTGACCTGCCCAGAAGCTCTCTGGAGCCAAAGGCAAACCTGCAGGCTCAGACCATCAATACTCTGCTGTTTATTTTCTTCTAATGCATGTCAGATCCAGACTGTAGAGCACATAGCAAGTTGGAGTTATCAAATATTTATAGATTACCTACTTTCTGAATAGGTAGTGTTGTGGGGGTTAAGGATGAACAAGATAGATAGATACCTGTGCTCATGAAACTTTATGTCTAGAGAGTAAGTTAGAAAATGAAAACTACAAATAATGACAGGTACTGAGCTCAAGACAGGAAGAGGTCAAGTTTGAGAAATTGTAACTGGGAGTCCTCACCTCCTATGTGGGCAAAACATAAAGAGGCAAATAACATCCATCAATATGATTACAAAAATCAAAGAACATGTCCTAAAAATATGTGATTTTTTTTGAAAAAGAAAAAAAACTATGAGCTCCAGGAATGGCTGAGTAGTTATAATACCTGCCTTTAAAAGGGAAGGTAATTAAATGAATTCCTTGAGTAACTAATCAAGTCTGTTCGAGCTTCGTTCATGACCATAACAACAAAAAAAGCAACAACAAGCATTGGAGATGGGACAAATAAATAAAACCTATGAACAAGAGTCATTGATTAAAAAATGAAAATGAGCATTGAAATCTATACCTTTCACACTAGTAAGAAAAGGGCAAAGTAATTGAAAGAGAATAAGGAGATGTACTGTGTTGGTGAGTCTTTTTAAAAAGGGAAGCTAAATAATGAAAGGAGTTTTCCCTTACTGTGTGCACTATTGGTTCCATAAAAAGAGACCTAGTATTTGTATTGATAAATTATTCACTGCGTTTCTGGCTTCACTTCCACCTGGCCTTATGAAGAGCAGCAGTGACCCCTACTGCTCAAATTAGGTAGGTCCACGGAATGTAAACCTTTTGAGGGGGATCATGAATCCTTTTTATGAATTCAAAGAAAACTTCATTCCTGCACCAGAAAAAAAAATTCTCAGGTTCCTACACAAATATGCAATTTGCATAAATTATCAGAAACTACTGACCTCTATCAACTAAAACATTTCAAGTGGATAATATAGTTGTAGAGAGTCAAGCAAGCTTTTGTAAAAGTATAATGTAATGAAATTTATGTGAGCTGATAAAATGGTTTCATGGGTCTGGGCTTATAGATATTTTCCAGGATGATTATCTATCTAATAGTAGACACACCTAGACAGTTATGCTATTGCCATACATAGAACCTTGCTTTTGTTCTTATCATTTTATTATCAATTAAGATCGTGTTATTTACTACTCTGTACAGGTAAGATTTTTATTTTATATTGCCGGGCTCTCCGAGAGGGGTGGAGGAATCAAACCTGGCTCCTTTGTTTTACGCGCAGCCAGCCTGGTGGTGGAGATGGGTTGGATTCCTCTGCCCCTCTCGGAGAGCCCAGCAAGCTACCGAGAGTATCTCGCCCGCCGGCAAAAGCCTGGCAAGCTACCGGTGACATATTCGATATGCCAAACATAGTAACAATAAGTCTCACAATGGAGACGGTACTGGGCCCGCCTGAGCAAATCCATGAACAATGGGGAGGACAGTGCTACAGCGCTACAGGTAAGATATATAATATGATTTAGTTCTAAAAGTACATATTTATAG